GAAGTGTCTTTCTAGAACTCTAACATGGCCTTTCCAGGTAGATCTTCTGTAATTTATAGGGCCTAGTGAACTCGTCATACGTCATTATCACTTTTTAATCTACAATTATTTGGCTCTCTTGAAATAAAACTTCTAAGTATTTTTATGATGTGGAAAAGCCAGACAAGATTTCTCTGAGCCTTGTCATTTTTTGGTGAGGTTGACATGGAGGGTTAAAATAAAACAATATGAATCACTGTGATGAATCACAAAATCAATTTTACTACTTCATACAACCTAAAACAAAAACAATATATTTAAGCCTTGTGTAAATTTGAATTGATTTAGTTGTTTGATATTTTAATATATGTGCCCTATGTCTGCTAGAGCTCAGTTGTAGCAGCTGCCTACACAAGGAGATCTCGGAGTGAAGCTGCAAAGAAACCTAATCGAAAATCATGGAAACAAAGGACAGATATGTATATGAGACCATTTTTGTTGGATGTTTTCTTCTCTAACCGGTTTATCCAGGCAAAAGTAATGCACCGACCAACCAGCAAGGTCATCTCAGTGGCTACAACAAATGCCAAGGACCTTAGGACTACACTGCCCTCACTTTCTGATGATAATGCAGCCAGGGTTATTGGAAAGTTGATTGCTGAGCGTTCAAAGGATGCTGATGTCTTTGCAATGTCCTATGAGCCTAAGAAGAATGAGAGGATACAAGGCAGGCTGGGGATAGTTCTTGATACCATTGCAGAAAATGGTATTATCTTTGTTTAGGATCCAACTTTAATGGCTTGTTTGGTTACCTCAGAAATGGTTACTTTTCGGAAATAAAAAGATCGTGCTTCATCGCTTATTCACCTAAACTAACAGTCTTTTGCTTTCCACACAAATGACTTCATTTTACCCAACAGTGATTCCATTTCCAGAGGTGTGGAATGGGGGAGGTTTGGATCATTGAACAAGTAAGTTTATTTATTTTATCAGAAAGTGGTTCCCAGGGAAATAACCAAACGTGCTCCAGGGTTTGGTTTCTTAGTCTCCATTTTTAAAAGAAAAAATGTTTCTTGTTATGAAACGAAGTGGTGAAAATGTAGAACTTCTTCACCACTCTGTATATGGGTTAAGTTTGTGGCTTTGTGCATATATAGGGAGATCTAACTTGTAAGATGTAAACAGAGTGTTAAGGTTCTTTTTCATTCTCTGAATGATGGTCCTATGAGAGACTTCTGTACTTGTTAGTTGAATCTCTGAAATGTTTGAAAGGTGAATCATTGGGTAAACATTCTATTAAGCCAATAAGCAAATTAACCTTTTTTGTTTATTATTCATATTTGTTACATTGTAATTTCGTTTATCATTAATTCATTAAATAGATTATAATAAGTATTGTAATGGTAATACTAATATCATTATTAAAGCAGACATTCTTCTAAATAAGAATTAACAGGTTCGTCCTTTTTTTCATCATTTTTGTTCATTCTAAAATGCTTGTCCAGTTGTCCTAAGCCAGATATTGTTACACTTTAGAGGATGTTTGGCAACGCTGTTTTTTTTTTGGCTTATCAAGCTTATCAACCAACTTTTTCACCAAACACGTAACTTTTGCTTTCGCGTGCCGAATGGTCAGAGTTACTTTTCTGGCTGTATTGGACCATTGGCTGAAGTTACTGTAGATGATCATTTTAGTTATTTTTACATATAATTTTTTCTTTATTTTATTAATAAAATATATTTTAAAAATAATTTTTTCTTAAATCAGTATAATCAGCCAATGCAGTCACTTTAGCCAGAACATCATAAATTTCAGTAGAATCAACCAAATCAGTCGATTATCGTTCTACCAAACGGGCTCTTAATCATTATGGCTCGCACTCATTTGAATTAAATGTGAAGCAAAGTAAATGTAGTACCATTGTAAAATATGGTACATGAATTAAACGTGGTTTAATACGTGCGTGTTTTATTCGGTAACTTGAACAAAAAATACACTAAAAAATTCTGCAAAAAATATGTTGCTTTTTTAAAAACGTGTAAATACGGGTTTTACTTTGAATGATTTAATATGACATCTTTTAGAAAAATTTGGGTTGAAAATACGGGTCTTATTTTGAATGATTTAATTATTGTACTAGTTTTTAGGGCATAAAACATATAGTACATAAAGGATAATCAAAACACACACACATTCAAATAGAATATCTCATTACTCCATTAAAAAATGCATTCATAATAGCATAAGTTCATGACAAAAAAAGAAATAATGATCAAGTCCAAAATAACATTGAAATTGTATACTTCATAAAATAACATATAATAAAAATGAAGGGAAAATGGAAACTAATAATCCAACCTTTTAGCGGTCTTCTTTCAATAATCCCACCTTTTGATTATTCATGAATAATCCGTCTTTTGCACCTCATCTCCATTCATTGGTCCCTGGTCGGTTAATGACCTACTATTCCAAGTTATTTTCTTATCTTTGCAAAATATTATCTTTGTGAAAGATGAGATTTATGGTATAATGATTTGAAAAGATAAGAAAATAGCTTGGAATAGCAGGTCATCAACCGGTCAGGGACCACTGAAGGAAGATGAGGTGCAAAGGTTGGATTATTCATGAATAACCAAAAGGTTGGATTATTGTAAGAAGACCGCTAAGGTTGGATTATTAGTTTCCATTTTCCCTAAAATGAAATAAGAGTAAACACATATTGAAGTAGTAAATCACATTACTACATAAAAGAATAATTCGTAATTGCATAAGTCGATGTCAAAAGTAAAAATAGTACTATAAATAAGTCCAACACATAATTTTGCGAAGTAATGTCAGAAAATAAGGCATAATAACGATAGAATGAGACCAAGTTAACATCATCATCATATTTATATGATCATCAACTAATACTCAAGTTAAACTCATCATTCTCACCTAGATGACGGATGACATATGAGAATGTTGTGCGACTGCTACACTTATTATTGTTTATGTGTAAAAGTTTATACTAAAAAATGTCATGTTTAGAAAAATCTTAATTTTGATATGCTTCTTTGTAAAAGAACTTCACAAATCTAATATGTAGTATTCCGTACTATTTTAGGTTTTAGTCTTTTAGGATGCTAGCTTTAGTCATCATGCAATTAATTTTAGTATTTAACAATTGTATATTTTGTATTGTAATGATACAAAAACATGAGGTCATGGGGATGAGGTTTTCTTTTTTTGCTTTTAAACAATTGTTGATCTCCTATTCATTTGATGCATTCATTCAAGTAATCAAATCATATTTCTATTTTTTGTAAAATACGGGAAATATACATTTTATACGGGAAGTGAAAGTTTTTTCCTTTTTAAACGGACCGATATTATTTTTTCGTTTTAAACGCATTTTTTTGTTCAAAAAACCGTACGTGTTGTAAACGCGTTTTAAAGGAAAAAAAAAAAGAGAGAATTCCCTAAATAGGAGTAAAAAAGTTTTGATATTCCAAAATAGGAGTATCATGTTTTTATTCCCTAAATAGGAGTACATTTCTGCCACGTTTGGAAATTACAAGGCTTTAAACATGGCATTTTTTCCCAAACTTGGCAGATTACTCCTATTCAGGGAATAAAAAACATGATACTCCTATTTTGGAATTTCAAAACGTTTTTACTCCTATTTAGGGTAATTTCTGAAAAAAAAAACTAACTAGGTGTAGTACTCCGTATTACTATATTATATTTCCTAAAGTACATTTCTAGGGGTGTATTGCATTAGGAATTAGTTGCAAAATTTTAAAAGTCCATGTATTTTAAAAGTTTAGGTGTATTCAATGTGGACTTTTAAAAGTCCACAAAAGTCTAGGTGTATTCAATGCGGACTTTTAAAAGTCTATAAAAGTCTAGGCGTATTCAAATTTCCGTTGATTCTCATTGACTTCTAAAATCATGGATTCCCGTAGACTTTTAATTCATTTTTAGTGCAAAAATTCTCTACAATTGTCTCTTCTCCCCACCAAAGATTTCCGTGGACTTTTCTTATATCGGTTCTTCATCCCGTCCCACCTCATTCCTCCCCTCCGTCCTAGGGATGGACCGGGCCCGGCCCGGTTTCGGTTCCGAGTTGGGCCCGGCCGGGCTTGGAATTTTTTGGGTAAGGCCCGGGACCGGCCTAGGAGTCTACTGGTACCGGGCGGGGCTGGTTCATTTTTTTTGGGTTTTCTTATATATTCCAACCCTCACCCCCCAAACCCCTCCAAAACACCCAGCCCAACCTACCTACCATAGTCCCAAACCCAAAAAAAAACAAAAAAAAACGAATAAGGCCCGGACCGGGCTGGTCCTCAAATATGCAGTCCTGGAACCGCCCCAATTAACCCCCCCCCCCCCCCCCCCGGTCCTAGGCCCGGTACCGGTACCGATCCACCGGGCCGGGCATAATTTATTTTTGTAGAATTTTGTGGTGCTATATGAATTACATTTTTTTCATTTACGGAGTATTTATTTATTTATTTATTTATTTATTTATTTATTTATTTACTTACTTATATATTTCTTATCGTACTCCGTATTATATAGAGGAAATCACTTACGGTAGGACTAAAACATAGCATTATTCTTAAAGTATGATTAAATGTTTGATTTTTCTTAAATAGGAATAAATATTACATATTCACCCCTAATTTAATTAATTAAGTAATTAATATAATTAATTGTCCCTAGCTCCCTTTCACAACCAAAGCCATTTTGTTGGTGACGCGTCAGTCCGATGACGACAGCGAGGAACTCCGGTGATGGAGGCGGACAGGTCACATTCATATCGGTAGCGACAATCTAGGTGAAAATTTTGACGACCAGCAGTAGCGGTCCGCATTTAAAAGTCTATGGACTTTTTGAAAGTCAATAAACTTATCCATGAATTTAAAAGTCCATAGAATTCATTCATAAAAAAGTCTATGAATTTAAAAGCCCATGGACTTTTTTAAAAGTCCATGGATTAAAAAAAGTCCACAACAATCTATATTGAATACACCCCCTTCGATTTTCATAAAGAACTTTTGTTCCTCATACAAACATAATTTCTAGTACGTAGTACAGAGTACATAATGGTTATCCCACTAACGATTTCTTAAACGCCATTTTCCATGCATTACATTGGATATTGACTTTTTCCGACCCATCACGCCGGTTCTGTATATTTCCTCCCGATTCAGTAAATACAACCTTAACTGCTTCAAAAATTTCTTTCGCTGGCTTGTCAGCATCAATCTAAGACAAAAAATACTCCGTAGTTAATTAAATAGTGTTAATAATGGTAATAATTCTTTATTGTTATAATTCAAAACATGAAAAATGTCTATATACACTACAAACTTCTGCCCAAGAACTCATTTTGTATTTAATGTTGTTGAAGATACGCAGACACTTTACGGTCTTTACAAGTTCATGTGAACATGCTAATCAAGTTCTTAATTGAATCATATTTTATTGTATTTATTACATTGATGCTTTGTGGGCTTTATGACCATTATATGTAGTATATATTAAGTGCCACTTATTAAGTTGGAGGTGATGTGCATAACATTTATATTTGATTTTTAGATGGTAAGATTTTGTTTTATAGACTAGGATGAAAAATTGGACTGGGCTAGATGGAATTATGTCAAAATAATACCTTAAAAAATATTTTTTTTTTGTTTTGCTCTGGGTTTCAGCCTATCATAGCCCTAACATAGATCTTCCCGTGACAAAGATGAACTTGTGTATCAACTTTGTATTTGTGAAAACAAAAAATTAATTTGTTTGAAACTGATGTAAACGATGGTGTACCGAAAACATTGCTCTAAAAGTAATTTCTTTAGTTTTCTTTTTACCTCACGAAGCTTGCCCTTTGACTTGTAATACTCAACAACTGGAAGAGTGGATTCCCTATACACTTCAAACCTTTTCCTAACTGTACAAATGTTGTCATCTTCTCTTCCCTTCATGTAGTGGTTAATTAACATAATAACATTATTAGATAGATAATTACAAAAAAAATTAGCAGTGAGGTGTTAAAAGTAGAAAAACAGGGTTGTGAAAGATTATGTTTCAAAAGACCTGGTTCCTATTCAAAAGGCGTCTTTCCATCTCAATCTTCTTCAGTTCTTCACTACAATCAAAGAAGATGACAAATTCTGGTCGAATCCCTGCCTGCAAAGATCAAATGCATGTGATTAAGATTCACACTTACTTTGTTTTTCGGGCAAATGTTTTATTGTACTTGTAGATTACCAAGGTTGTTTAGAACTTTAAGAGATATAGGGGGTGTTTGGAATTAATTGAGTTTTTGCTTATTTTTTAAAGCAGAAGCAAAATCAGAATCGGTTTTCAAAAACTGGTCTCCCTCAGCTTCTAAAAAAATTGATTCAATGAAAAAATTAGAGCGCTAGAAGTACTTCTGTACTTTCACCCAAACACTCACACTTATGTTTCTGCTCACCGAAGGAGCAGAAGCTGTTTTAAGAATCAGATCCAAACACCCTCATATTGTGTTAGTTATAACTAGTTACTCCACACTGAGTAAGTGTGTTCCACGGGATGTACATAAAAGTTGAGATAGATGGATTACATAAAATATATAAATAACAATTGATAATGAATCAATTAAGTGAGTAACTAGGTCTTATGTAAGAACATGTTGCACAAGTGTGACTTACATTTATGTTTTAGCTTCTTTTAAGTATTACTATTAATGTTCACATTAAAAGAAAAATAATTCGGAATAAAATAAAAAGAGCTTTTGTATATGATAATTTGGGCACTCAAAATCAAGATGTTTAATGTTATAACATCTCTCTAATCTAATAATTGTCTAATTGACTTAAAAAATGGGGAAAAATTAAAAGTTTGAAATTTAATTATGGGATAGATAAAGGTAGTGTTGAAATCCAACAAATATATAACATTTTTTATCATCAAATCCAACAAATCCAACAAATAACTCAAAATAACGTTCGTCACATGCTTGATAATACATTCAAAGAAAAAGAAGTAAGCAAAGCGATAAAAAGCCTTATGTCTGCCATCTGCCCTCGAACCAGACTTAGAATATATCAATATATCACCTCTGTAGAAGCAATAATATTCGCTGATCTTGTAATGGGCTTAACTGAGCCAATGACTAGCAAACCAGACTTCTCATCACCTGACCTAAAATCTAGAATATTTATGCTAGGAAATAAGAACATGTCCAAAACAATATGCAATTCGAAAGAAACACACAAACAGAATACAACGGAATTAAAATAGAGTTCACCCTTCTTCTTTCAAACCCTAGACTTGCTTGCACTCCATGGCGGCAGCTCAGGAGGGGGACGCGCCCGCCAATCATCCGTCTCAATAGTCATGCTTTTGTATTGAATGATGATATCCTCTTTTGACATCCCTTGTTGCTGAATCAAAACCATACTCTGGCTTAAAATCATACTTAAGCAAATTGCAACTTTAGCTTCTTCAAAATCCGTGATAGGACTACAAAAACATTGAAAAGGACACAAACTTAAAATTCAATTTTCATCTCATACAAGAAGAAAAATAGAAAAAGGACTCACAATGCGGGTAAATTACATGGTACAGCCGGCTGTACTGTGCGCACGGTACAGCCGGCCTTTTATTTCGCAAATCGCAGGGTTTCATCGCAAATCGCAGGCTTCTATCGCAGTTCGTTGAGCTTCCATCGCTCTTCGCAGGCTTCCATCGCAGTTCGCAGATCGTCGTCCTTCGCTCGCTGCCTACACCGCTGAAAATTCTCGACAGCCACAACCCTCCTGCACGAGCGCAACGTCTAAAACTCTGGCTTGAGCGGAAGCTCCTGTGGCGGGTCTCTTGGTGTATAGCCCTAGTTGCTTCTTCTCCCATTTTCTCTTTTTCTTACCCAAGTTAGATGAGGGAGTTCGGTCACTTATGATATGAGCATATATAACAAATGAAAATATGAGCATAAAAGACATTTCAAATGAGTTTTTTTGAATGCTCATTTCTTCATTAATGTATACTCATTTGATATTAGTGCAATACTCATTTTAAAATGTCATATTCATGCATATTTCAAAATGAGTTTTATGTTAAACTCAAATGATTACCACACCCAAAATGAATGAGCACACACAAATGAGTTTTTTAATATTTTGATACTCATTTTGTAAGTTGCTGAACAAATATTTTGATACACACAAATGTATGCTCATTTGGTACTGTCTTATGCTCATTTTAAAAGGTTGCACATGTTAAACATATCATAATCCATTAGATTCACATATTGAAATTAAATGAAATTGATTGTAGACGTAATTTAAGACTGTAATAAACGAAAAAATAATAAACGGAATGTGATATATGAGGAATGAAGCAGATATCACTAATGCTCATCGTTATGCTCCTAATACTCAAAAGAACATGCTCGATGCTCATCAAAATTGATTCCATGCTCATTTAAGAGAATCCGTGATTTTCACCAAAATTACAAGTTTACCACCGACTGTACGGATGGCACCGTACAGCCGGTTGTAGTATATACGCTTCCCACAATGCGTTGAAAAGCTACATGGTTTTCTTCATCACGAGGGAAGCCATCAATAAAAAATTTGTCATTCGGGGTATTCTGAATTGCCCTTTAGAGAAGTGCCACTCTTACATAAGAAGATATGATTTTTCTTCTTTAATCATGCTCTGGATCTCTTTTCTCAATATGAAATAAGCAACATTAATTGGAGAATAATTGAACAAAATTTATGGATTTTCTTATTTATTACTCCTTCCGGTCATAAATAAACTTCACACACGAAAATGAAGATATACTGCTTGATCGGTTCTGAGAGGCGGTTCTAACAGTATATCGTTTACAGGGATTGGATAAAAAACAAGGTTATAGAGGCTAAAATGCGAAAATATGGAAAAGCAGAAAACAGAGCATTTCTTCGCAGTTCTTCGCAGATGATCTTCATTCGATCGGATCTGATACTAGTTGTTGGTCCCAAACGATGTGTGATAATCTATCAGCTACAGAATGAATTTCATCGATACAAAGAAAATAGAGATTCAAACAATGATAGGAAGATATATCGAACAGTGAACTCTCTTTCTATTAATATAGAGAATCTCTTTCTATGGGCATATTTATAGGCGCAAGTGTACAACTTACAAAATTAGGGTCTAACCTAGGAATATGAGCCTAACTAACATTATTGGCTCATTTCCTTTCTAGGCTACTTATTACAATAAGATATACACCATAAAAGGCTAAAATTAAACTAAATAAAAATAAGACATTAAGACAAGCTTCATTCACAATTATAATCTTCAACAAAATGAATGATTAATCGCGGTGAGCATGGATTTTGTGAGTATAATGTTGTTAAATGTATAATAAGGCATACTTGGACTATGTATGAGACTAACTAGAGTAATATAGTATGTGAGTATGAATAGATATGTTTAAATGTGTTTAAACATGTGATTTACCATATTGATTATAAATTATGTGAAAATGACATGATTAATAAGTAAAGAATTATTAGTATTTTTTTTTGTTAGTGCTTTCAATTTAGGTAAACTATGATTTGAGTATTGCTTTCAGTTCCATTTTTTCTTTTTTATGCCCCAGTCTTCCATCATTTTTGTTGTTAGTGCACTTTATTCGATTTTTGTATTAGAATAAAAAGATCTCATATCCATATCATTTTCTTATGTTTGATTTTTCTAATGTTGAGTTTGGAGTTCAAATGTAGTGTACTAGTGTGAGTGTGTGGCATTTTGAATAGTGAACCTGTTATATTTTAACTTTAGAAAGTTAGAATGTGTTCTATGTGCATCAAAACCCCTCTTAGACTCTAAATACTTCTCTTTTTGAATTCTCCCTAATTCACAACCCCCTTCAACTTATAAGGCAACACTATGAAGTTTGTATTCAACTGATTGTTAGAGTGTGCAATGGGGCAGGATGTGATGTGTTAATACCACAGGTAAAAATTCATTCTCTAAGTAGATGATCTACCACAAAGTTTCTTTCATAAAGTTGTTAATGACAATTCCTTTTCTTATCCAACGTTGTTGGTTTATATGAACTTTAAACCAAATACGGATATGTAATGATCTAATGATTGTATCGGAAATCTCGCATCTCATTTTTTTCGCAATGAAAAAGATGTTTTATTAATGAAAAAGAGAGTACAAAAACCAAGCAAGGGAAAGAAACAAAGAAAATAACAGAAAAGAAAATGGCGAAAAAGAAAAAATAAACCAACCCATATAATTGAGATCTTGTGCGCATATAATGTGACCGCCGCTTACTCTTACTGTACATTCTGATATTAGTTTTCAAACTACTTGTATGCAGGGGAGGATCATGGTGAAGGCAAAGGTGGACTTCAGCCCAGCCCACCAGCTGCGCCGCCTCCCGCAGGGATGGATCCGGGGGGGGGGGGGGGGGGGGGCGACCGCCCCCCTTGGACTTCCAAAATTTTCTACTATATATATATATAATATTTTCATAAAATTTTCATACTTTAATTAGGTATATATGTTTTTGCCCCCCTTAACTTTTAGTTTTCAAAATTAACATATAGGCTCACATAATGCAATGCTTAATTGGAGATTTAAAAGAAGTAGAATCTAAAATAATTTACATAACTTAAACAAATAATGAAATAAACAATAGAACTCGTTGTTTAAGACTTAGGGTACCAAAAAATTCTTAGTTTTGTAATATTTAATTATCTTTATTAGATAATTAGTACTCGATTTTGTAAGATATCAAAAGATATTGAATATCAGATACAATAGTTAAATAGTATAAATGTTTGTTGACATTAAATTGCACATTTCATTTACCTCTTACTTTCTAAAAACAATTTGTTGAATAGATAATACTTTAACTTATTTTAGCATTAATACAAATATAATATGCACCATATATATAGAATTAACATTACTACATATCATATTATTCTAAGTATAATAATCTTATACATACTATTGTAATATTAAGAAAACTCATCATGACCCACAAATACCCTTCTTGGTGGACAAAAATCTCAATTCTAAAACCAATTCTTTATCCCGTTAAGATTCATGTGGTTAAACAAGACATAAGTTACTTAAAAAACATTGGT